TTGAGCAGTGTAGAGTAGCGCTTGTAGTTTGTCATTTCTCCGATCACAGATGCAGACATGGTTTTATGTTTACGTGGCGCGATGCAATGCAAAGCGTAAAAAGACAATACAAGTCATTATAATCAGCATTTATGTCCCCACTGGATGCAACAAAGGCCTCGTTTATAATGGGTTTTAATATCTTTGTCTCGTCGCTCCGGCCGGGACACGGCATCACAGTATGGTAAGGGGCGTAACATTTCCGTCACACGCTTGAGGTATTCGGCCAATCACAACTCACTGGATAGCTGGCCAATCAGAGCACACCTCACTTTTCAGACCGATGAGCTTTGTAATAATCGTTTCAGAAAGGCGGGGCATAGAGGAGAAACAATAAGGTACAGTTTGTGGAAAATAATGTGTTTTTTGAAGCTTAAACTGCATAAACACATATTGTTGTAGGCTAATGTCGAGTTCACTGCACGATTTTATACCGATTTTTCACTCGCCGACAGGTTTTGCGAAATCGCCGACAAATGCCTGAAATCGGAGGCAAATCGGTGCTCGTTCACGTGAGTGACAATCACGCAGTGTGAATTATCAAAGACGCGATCTGAGGGAATTGCCGACGCGTTGCCGACGCCCGTGAAATATGTGGCATGCTAAATATCTGGAGCTGTCCGCGATTCACAATCCTGCTGTGTGAAATGAGTTCTGACTGAAAAACACATCGGCGATGACCTACAGCCAATGAGAGACCAAGATACAGGGCAGAGGGAAGTTCGGGGAGGAGTTATAGACCAGAATATCACTGTAGGTTAATTTCAAACAGCATTTTCGCGGGAAGGATAAGATTCGTTCGATTCATTCTAAACTAATGCCGAGTTCACACTGCACGATTTTAGCCCGATTTTTCACTCGCCGACAGGTTTTGCGAAATCGCAGACAAATTCCCGAAATCAGAGGCAAATCGGTGCTCGTTCACGCGAGTTACAATCACGCAGTGTGAATTATCAAAGACGCGATCTGAG